GACAAGGGTTGATGTTTGGGCTCCCTGTATGTCTGGGCTTCCCAGACCTCCTCTGGAGGCACTGAGGACCACACCAGCCTCGCTGGTCCAGGAAAAGGATGTGGCATGGCAGCAATGGCACCGAAACAGTGCCCAAGCAGTCACCTAATGGGGAATCCCTCAACAACCCTCTGCTTCTTGCAGGAAGGGGGTTCATGGGGATCAGTCCCTTGAAGGCTGGCCCCAAAAGTCCCCCAAGCCCTCATCCATTGCACACACAAGCTGTGTGCTCCCTCCCTCCACATTTATTTGCAGAGGGAATTACAGTCCTGCTGGGAAAACCTCCCCTGTGCTCTGATAACTGCCGGCATAGCCAGCTCTAAATGGCTTTTTGTAAAAGGATGACCAGGATTAACGAGGTTCCCCGCGTCACTGTTTACTTAGTGCTCCACCAGAGTGGGGAGAACAGGGCAGAGACCCCTTCCTCCTGCTGAGCCCCTTGGGCCACCAAGGAGCTGATACATACTGGGGACCAACATGGTGCCACCCAACATATGGCCAAGCCCTTCCTCATCTCCCTAGAGCACCAGCTGAGCTTCCCAGCTGGGTTTGGGATGGGTGGGATGCATGTGCATGCACCAGGCGTGCTGGTCCTGCAGACAGAGAAACTACAGGGCACTGTATTTCATGAGCTGGGGGCCGGATTGGGGACGATGCTCATTTTCTCTCTCTGCCATGTTGCTGGGGAAGAAAGGGGGGTGTTTGCCATGCGGGTTGGCGTTGGGCATGCACCCCCACACATGATGGGAACAGGGAGGCCATGCAGGGCTGCAGCTGGCCCTGTCCCCTCTGCAGAAATGCACTTGGTGACCCCAGGGCTGGCAGGGAGCTGCCTGGCAAGGCCATGGGGGTCCGCCAAGTGGTGCTGGTCCAACAAACCCCCCTCCTGTGGAGGGGACCCTCCTCTGCCATCCCTGTCTGCCTGCAGTGGGGGTCTTGCCTTCGCCTGCTGCACTCTGGGTGGGGCTGGAGCTGCTGCAGCAGCCTTGTTACTGCACTGCTCCAGCCTTTGGATGTTTGCACATTCCTGCCTGTTAATGTGTCTTGTAAGGGACAAAAGCCACCAGGATGGAGGGTTATTCCCCGCAGCACCTGCAGGTCTGCTCCCTCTGTTCCCCAGCCAGGAATTGGCACCGATCCCATGCCGGGTGGGAGCAGGCACTCCCCAAAGGAGCAAAAACAAATCCCTGGCTCACACTCAGGTAGCAACGCCTCCACTAGGAGCAATGAACATCCAACCCCTCAACACCGGTGAGCTCAAAATGCCCATGGATCTCCCAGGGCAGATGGCAGCGGCCTGTCCTGATCAGGCATGGGGAGAAGGAGCGCCGTTTTGGAGCAGAGCTGCGCTTCCCTCGGCTGCCAGGTTGGCACACTGCCCGCCAGCACAACACCAGGCCAAATTCTTTGCAATTTCTAGGTCAACACCCGCCTCTCATAATGCCTCCAAGCCCTCCTGCTGCCTGCACCAGCCTCCAGCCCAGCGGCCCCGTGTGCAGCATGGGCACACCCCTGGAGATCTGCACTTGATGTCCCCAGACCGCTTAACCCAGCTGGACTCATCCATAACCCCTGGGGCTTATGCCCACATTGCCCTGAATTGGGCTATTATTCCTCAAATGCACCTGCTTGCCCTTGTGCTACCTTTGCTGCCCAGCTCTGCCACAGCAGCACCCACGGGTGAGCTGTGTCTCCAGGGTGCAGAGCCTGCCCTTGCTTGTACTTTTTTTGGGAGGGGTGGGTGTTTAAAGGCCCATCCACTGGACTCAGACACCAAAGGAAGTGTTTGATTTGGATTTTTAAAGCAAGTTTCTCACTGTCCTGATGGCAGTGGAAGAAAAACAACCCACCTCAGGACATGGGATGGCCCTAACACTTCAAACCTGGAAATAAATCACCTGAAAAAACAGCCTTTGTAAAGAAATTGTGGTGGCCCCTGTGCTTGTTTGCAAACTGGCCAAGTTTCAATCTTTGCATGACGTGGTTTCCCAAAGAAAGAGGCAATGTTGGCATCGCTCCAGCAGCTCAGCCCCTCTGCTGCTGGGGCTGGATGCTTCCCCCCCATCCATGGGGGCCGAATTTGGTGGCATGGGCTAAGCTGGAAGAGCAGGAGCCCTGTGGGGCTGGGACCCCCCGCCCAGGCACACATTGGGGGGATGGCAGGGATGAGGCGGAAGGGGCAGCATGCCGAGTGTCTCCTCGTGACGGCATTTACGCAGAGGCTGTTGCATTGTGGCTCGGGTGAGCGGCTGCCGACGCTCCCCCCACAGCAGGGCAAGCCCCGGCCTGCCGGCGCATTGTGCCAGCCACGCCGCCAGGAACGGCTGCTGGCAACGGCCCACTGACCCGTCCCGGGGCTGCCCGAGGCGCAGAGGGAGGCAGGGAGATTTGCCGGGTGGCCCCCCCAGTGCCAGAGGATGCAGCCCCCCATCCGTGCCCCCAACACACAGCTGAAAACTCAAGAGTGCACACGTGCTCCTGTAGCACTGCCTCAGCATTGCTTTGGGCTGGATGCGGTCCCCAGCAGAGCCCTGCTCCCTGCAGAGGGACCTAACCCAGGTTCAGCAGCATGAGCTGGGGAGCAGGACCGGGGTTGGGGCATGGGGGGACGCCCAGAGTATGGGGGCTGTCCTCACAAGGTACTTCGGGTCAGATAATCAGGTTCTGGTCCATATCAGACCGCCTTGCTCTGCCTCAGTTTCCCTAATAGGATGCTGTAAACCACCCAAGCTATGCAAATGCCACAGGCCCCACAGAGCTCTGCTAGCAATACAAAGTCACTGCTGGAAAAACAGAAAAGGGGCTTTAATTTTCAGAGCCACCTTTCCCAGAGCCCCTGCAACCCCACTGAGAGGTGTTTGCATCCAGCCTGATCCCTCGAGGCAAAGACATCAGGGTCCAGTCCTGGGGCCTGTCACAGCCTGTCTGGGGTTTGCTATGGCACCTCCATTCCCTCAGATAAAAAACCCTCTGAAAATCAGTGTCATAGGGGCAGGGAGTCCCTGAGCTGTCCCCAAGCTCTGCCCCTCACTGCAGGGAGCCAGGCTGCCCCGATGTCCCCCCTACTCCTGCCCCCCCAGGGACCTGCCATACCAAGGGTGGAGCTTCTCACCCAAGGGTGCTTCCCATGAGATTTCCCATCCATGTGAACTCCTGGATGCACATTTGGGAACCTGTTTTTTTCCCCAAACTCTCGAGGTTCATTCATTGCTATGCAAGGAGAGTCCATTCCCTACCCTCCTCCATCCTGTCCCCCTTCTTCCCCCTCACCACCCTGGCCATCCCAGCCTGAGACATTAAAATGGGCTGAATTTTTCCAC